ACTTGCCTTGAATATTGCACCTGCATTCTACTCTTTTTCTCACTGAAGGCTTTGCTTCCCAGTAATGGTTGTAGGAACTCTGGTTCCTATTCCCAAGCTGCTTTGCGTTTGACGCTAAAGGCTCCTTCCCATACTCCTACCCTAGGCTCCTACCCTGGAGTTTTTCTAAGCTGCTTCATCTCTCTTTTATCCTTCTGAAAAGCTCCAGAGTGCATGGCAGGGTAAGGAAGTGTAAGGGGTTTGAGCTTTGAAAGCTGTAGTTGAAAGATCAGGAATGTTTGTAGCCGCTTTCCAATTTATGATTTCTGAGAAACTGATTATACAAACCCATATGAAAAGATCATGTGTGGGCTGTAATTCTTACCCACAACCTCTGTCGAAACTGACCCAGGAAACCAAAGCACAGCCTCTGAAATAATCACTCCAGACTGGTTAGGACTTGGTTGTTGACTTCCAGCTTCCCTAATTTTTGTCCTTGCTTCCAGTTTGGGACCAATCAGAGAAAGCCACATGCTTCCCAGTCCAACCACACAGGGAGCCCTGCCTCTAGTTAGCTCACTTCAGCTTCCCAAAGCCAACCAGCCCCTGTGAGAGCAACCCGAAGTCCCCCTTCTCCCCCACTCCCCTGCCTGCTTGGGGGTGTCCACCACAGCCGGTGGCAAGCTCTGAATAAGCAGCCTTTGCTTATTCTCACTTGGGGCCTTTGCTTATCCCACACTTTGGACAGTCACTTAGCTTCATTTTTTTTTGTACATAGTATTTAGATGATCTCACAAGATTCTGAGCATTGATTGATATTGAGTTGTAAGATGCTCTTTTCTTTCTTGAAAAAGAACCTCTTTATTGGAGGTATGATTGACATACAAGGAGGAGTGAATATTTAATATATATAACTTGATAATGGTGGTTATGTATAGGCCCGTGTAGCCATCACCAGAATCAATGCCATAAACATGCATCTCATCTTAAGTTTTCTCATGCCTTCCATTAAAAAAATTCTTTAGGGATAATAACACTAGATTTACACTGTAGTAAAATTTTAAGTATGTATTATAGTGTATTATACTATAAGCAAAAAATGACAGAAACCCTTTGAACTCTAGGCTGAATGTACTACTCAAAGGACATGTTAAGATGCTTCATGTGTACATGTGCTTTATCTCAATATGAAAAATGTAACAGAAGGTTATGAAATATGTACTCATATAATGATGATATAATATGTACTCACTTAATATCTTTTCCACCCTCCTTGTAGTCACACTCAACATGTTCAGTTGTAAAATAAATATGTCACAGTATGAATGGTACAGAATGGGGAATACAGTCAACAATATTATAATAACTTGTGGTGATATTTGTGAAGCACATTTATCATGGTGAGCATTGTGTAATGTATATAAATATTGAATCATGATGTTATACACCTGAAACTATTATAATATTATCTGTATTGCTTGAAGGTTTCAGCCTTGAGAAGTTTATTATGGATTCAGTGAGATCAAGAAATGACAACGGAATGTTCTTGGAGGAAAAGAGTTTATACCTGGCTTTATCCTCACGGCTGTAGGTCAAGGACTGAAATCATAACTGCATCTAGCAGACTGCAGGTCTATAATCCACCTCCATCTCTACCTTCACCCAGAGCACTGGGCAGAGCTCTTTATATAGTGGCTCAGTCAATAATAGCTTATTGCCAGCAGGTGTGGCCTAGCAGGGGACCAATTACATCATCAAGTAGTCTGGGGTCAGGTGAGGATCCTGGCCATAGGAATTTCCATTTCCTCACATATCTCAACTATATTTCAAGAAAAAATGTAAAAATTAGATATCCCAGATTCAGTTGTAGCTAGAGCCAGGGGATGTCAATTATTTTTGACTAATTAAATGCATTTTTGTGACATTTGAATTGTGAGACCGAGGTGGTTCTCACATTTCACTGTGTTCCAGAATCACCTGATGGTTTATTAAACACAGATTGCTGGGCCTCCCTCACTAATGAGAAGGTCTGGAGAAGGGCCTGAAATGTGCATTTCTAATAAGTTTCCAGGGGAGGCTCATCCTAGGGTTCTGTTATTTACGTGCTGTGAGAGTGTCAGAGGAAATTCTCACGGTGGTGGCAGTGATAGCAGCAGCTGGAGTTCCTGACCTCTAGGACATATCCAGTGTGGAGTCACTTTGGGGCTCCCTCACTCCTTCTGCAGACATTCTAAAAACTTTACACAAGAGATTTCCTGTAATAAATACCTTTCTACTTGAGAAAACTAGAGTGATTTCTGTTGGCCATAATAAACCACTGCTTGATACAATACTGTACTATACCAAACATAACTACAAGTGACAAGAGGATACATCCTTTACCCTACATCAGTGTCTTGCCAATGGGTTTCAGCCCTGGGAAAGTTACTATGGATTCAATGGGACCAAAGACATGACAGTGGAACATTGTCGGGGTAAAAGGGTTTATACCCAACTTTATTTCCATGGTGGCAGGTCAATCACTAGAATCCCTTCCACTAAGAGCTAGTCTGCATACAGCAAGACGGTCTCTGCTTCTCGGCCTCTCTGCCTCCAAAGCCATCTCAGTCTCTGTCCTCAGTGCTGCCACCACCCCAGTCTCATCTGTGCTCTCCTGTAGCCTTGCAGTTGTGCCACCATGTCACTGCACAGAGCACTGGGCAGAGCTCTTTATATGGAGTCAATAATGATGTATTGCCCACACATGTGTAGTGAGCCAGCCAACCAGGGCCAGGTGAGAATTCTGGCCATAGGAACCCTCACTTTATCCACAATCAGTCTGCTGAGTCTCAAACCAGTATCTGTGATATTGTTATGAACAACGGGAGCAGTAGAAACTATCCATGTGATTGGATTTACCAAGTGGAGTTGGCAAGAGATCTGTCAGGATTAAAGCAGGACTAGAGACTTTGAAGCATCATGTGATATGAACGACCAGTCCTCCTGCTTATTTGGGACTTGAGATCTCAGGATGTGCCTTGGGAGAGTGCCAGGTGTAGAGGGTCAAGCTGGTCACTTTCATTGGTTACCTTAGGAGTAAGTTGCCCTTAAAGGGATAGAGTTTAGGGTGTCAGATAAAGGGAGGGATCTAAGAATTCATTACCTGTGTGTATTTGAAATCTGAAGAGTAGAGCTCTGTCATATTGAATAGGCTGTTCCAAGGCCATGTCATCCTGAGCCAAGGGGATATAGGGTGAGAGCCAAGAGTGGAGGCTGTGGAGTCACATACAGTCAGATTTGAATCCCACTGTGTTTGTGATCTATGTGACCTCGAGCAAGTTACTAAACCAAGTTTCCATACCTTTGAAATGGGGATAAAAATGGTATCTACCTGTTGTGAGGTGTAAGTGAAAAAAATGAGCATGAAGCATTTGGAGGAGTTCATAATACTTGTCACGCTAGCATTATTATTGTTGCTAAGGAAATTACATAAAGGGATCAGGTAGGCACACTTGTGGGGGAAAAGGTAACAGGGCTAGAAGAGAGGAGAAGGCGAAGTCTGGATGAGAAAGGGATTGCGATCATTTCCTAGTGACCTTTGCATTCACCTCTCTTTGCCTTGTGCACTCCTGGGTGCAAAAAAATAAGAATTGGGTTGAGTAATCATTTCTATATAGAAGGTAAGTAAATACTGAATGTCTTTCTAAGTCAATGATGAAAGTTTAAAATTTATGTTAAATTACATACAAGATAGTAAATATTTACCAAAGGACTTGGGTTAGTGAAAATCCCAAGGGAAGGAAAAAAACTTGAAATCATTGCTTTTCAAAGAAAAATGGAAGTGTGGGGTAGGGGGGAAGGAAGACAACAGGAGGGATGGAGGCATTCTCCCAACCAAGGAGGGAAGGGGCTGCTGCCCATCATGGTTGTGGGGGCAGCATTCAGAGGGCTTACCTCGTGTATTTATAAGAACTTACAGTTCACGCTGAGAAAGAATATTAACATTTAACTCAGAAACACTTTTCTCCTGAGTGTTCTTTGCACGGCAGCCTTTACCTCCTTATTCCTCAAGCTGTAGATCAGGGGGTTCAGCATGGGGATGACTGTGGTGTAGAACACGGAGGCCACGTTCTCCTGGGCCAGGGAGTTGGCAGTCGAGGGCTTTAAGTACACGAATGTACCAGATCCATACATCAAGCCCACCGCTGCCAGGTGGGAGCTGCAGGTACTGAAGGCTTTGGACCTGCCCTCTGTGGTGCTGATGCGGAGGATGCTGGAGAGGATGAAGGCATAGGAAACCAGGACAGGTAAGCTGGTGGCTATGGTGTTGAATCCAGCCACACAGAAGACTATCATCTCAATACCATACATGCGAGAGCAGGAGAGCTTCATGAGGGGGACGATGTCACAGAAATAGTGACTGAGGAGGAGCTCACAGTAGGACAATTTAAACATGAGGACGGTCCCTATTGTTGAGTCAATGAGCCCAGAGGCATAAACCACAGCCACCAGCAGGGAGCAGACTTGATGAGACATGATGACGTTGTAAAGCAAAGGTCTGCAGATGGCGACATAGCGGTCATAGGCCATCACGGTCAGCATGTAACACTCAGCAACGCCAAACACAAGGAAGAAGGAGAGCTGTGACATGCACCCCGCATAGGAGATGACGTTCTTCTCTGACACAAAGTTCACCAGCATTTTAGGAGTAATGATGGAGGAATAGCAGAGATCTATGAGGGACAGGTTGCTGAGGAAGTAGTACATGGGGGTGTGCAGCTGAGCATTCAGCCAGATCAGTGTGAACATGCCCAGGTTCCCGACCACGGTGACCGAGTAGATGGCCAGGAAGAGGAGGAAGAGGGGCAGCTGGAGCTCTGGTCTGCTCGTGAGCCCCCCCAGGATGAACTCTGTCACCGCAGAGTGATTTTGTGCAGCCATCTGCTTTCTTGGTTTGGGAGCCCTGTGGGGAGGAGAGAGGAGAACCCCATGTAAGGCTTCCCCTTGGTCTTCTTGGAAACCCTATTCTGAGTATTTGGGAACAGCTGTGTGTTCCTGGGCTCCTTGCTTATCCATCTCTTCCTCTTCCTGCTGTACTGGGAGGAAGGCCAGTCCTTGGTTATTTCAAAGATGGTATTGTTAAGATAAATAAGGGGGTATTATCTGGAACTTTTCCCACGTTTATGTTTCTCAGATATCCTGTGTCGGGGATCTTAAGATGCAGTTCCTGGACCAGCAGCATCAGCGTCACCTGGAGATGTTAGAGATGCAAAGCCTCAGACGTCACCCGGGACCTGCCACATCAGGAACCCTGGGGATGGGGCCCAGCAGTCCGGGCCTAACTGCCTCTGCAGGTGATGCTTATGGTGTGCTAATGTTAGAGAACATTTGAGAACTCTGTCCTATAGGTAATAAGTAGTATATTTCATATTTTCTTGGGGGTGCATTTTCTCAGAAAAGAAATTCCTCTGTGTTCCATGCAATTCCTAAGTAGTCCCTGAATGTGCATGTACAAAACCCAGCTCAGATTACCGCAGTGTCAGTGTCATGTGTTACTCACGACTGTATCATTGATTGAAATATCAGTTTCTGTACCTGAAAGATGAAGAAATCACTAATATCAGTGCCATTGGTGGCTGTAAAAATAACATAGCATAATGTAAATTAAGAAATCATTTCCAGTCACTGAGTTTCTCTAATAGTGAATTGGTTCTAGGCATTTGGAATTTGCCCTTAGGTTTTCACTGGACCTGAGACCCTGAGATAGTGGATCTTGACATTGAATGTATACTATAATTTCTTGTAGAATTTAAAAAGTATTGTTGCCTGGGTTCCACCAACAGAGTATTTGATTTAGTTGATCAGTGGTACAACTTGGGCACGGGCACATAATATAGGTCAGATTAAGTGCTCAACAGGCAGTTTCAGTTTATTTCCAAATCATAATAGATCATAATATCAAACTCTGACTCCTTTATTTCCCTTCTGGCGAAGTGCTCAAATTATAGACATATTCCTGTGAAGCATGGAACAATATTCTCAGATATGATACTTTTATTGATTTGTCCTTGACATACATACCTTAGGATTAAAAATCTTAAATCATACTGTTTTTATTGCTGTTTTATAATTATGAGCTTTTGTATTATGTTCCATGAAGGTCAAACTCATGAACTCATCCTCAAATATTCAGCATGAGGAGAAATGCGTTCGGAGTTGGATTTTTATTCCCATTTTCATATTGAAGGTGGAAGTGCCAGAGGCTACGGGCCTTGCCCGTGGCCGCCTCGTCATTGGTGACCGGGGCTCCGGCCGTGCTGAGCCTGATCATGAGCCTCTTCCTTCAGTCCCTGGGCAGCCTTACACCTCTGCACACATCCACCTCCGGGCGATGTGGTTCAATGTGCTTTACACCTGACGTCTTAGGCGTTTCTGTGCATAGCTCATGAGAAAAATGAGAAATGCTATATTACTTTTTTCATCGTCAAGGTTACTTTGTTCCAACAAGTTGTAAGAGGCAGAAATGGGACTAAAACCCAGGACTTCTGACCATTGCTTCATATCTACTAATGTATATCGTTTTGCTATGGCTTGTCTTGTAGAATTTTATTACTTTTTAGTAAAGTTAACTCATTGAATTTTTGGAGACAGAGAGGATGGATTCACTTAATTTTGGATGTATTTCGAAAATTACAAAGGTGATATGCATGCATTGTAGAAGTTAAAGTACAAATAAGCAAAAAGAAAAACACCACTTTGCTGATATTTGGTGACTGATTCTGGCAGAGACTCTACTTCTCCATTTTGTATGCATATTTGTGTTTGCATGTTTAAGTATGTATGTATCTTTTAAAAAACATTTTATAACTTACTGTTTTAATATAGAACTTTACATCAGTTTATTCTAATAATAACAATAATGATTACTCTGGTACCAACTGTATTTTTTTTCAAATGTTAAGAGTCTTTAAATTCTTAGGATGTGGTATGAAGACAAGATAATGTGTTCCTTATAAACTTTATGTTTTAAATTATTGTTGGTGAGGTATTAAGTTCACAATAACTAGTATCAGAGGAAACTTAATTTAGAAAACTATTCCCACTTCTTGCAAATGAGAAAACATTTCTTCTAGATAAATAGAGATTAAAAACATATTATTATTCCCTCATCCAATATTTTTACCTCTTAAAACAATGAGAAACAGGAAATCCCTCTTGAACATACTATCAGAAACATAATTACCAGAACAAATTACAGAGTACTGTGGATTTTACACCATTCACTCAGTGAAGAGCGGATGGGAAAATCCTAGACAGCAATGATTTAATTTTACTCCCATAAGCACCTAATGATATAAAACAGGAAACATGACTCACACATTTGATGTCTGTTACTGCGATGATCACCTCTAGCTTTACTGGACCTTCGGGGGCTCAGGACTGCTGCCACTGAGAACACAGGGCACAAGAGAAAACTTCTCTGAGGCGAAGGAAATGTAGGGTTGGAAATAGCCGATACTAGAGATTGGAGTTCTCAGGAGAAGGACTCTTCTCACACAATTGCTTTAAAGGTGTAATTAAATACCTGTGCTGAGGAAAAATGGAACAGAGTCTCCTGGAAATTGTAGGGGATGCCTTGGTTTTAATAATAAGAGTATGATTACCAGGAAATGATGGACCATACAGATTCGTGTCTATTCTTAATAGTTGTCGAAAGGACCAGCGCAGTCATGAGAAAGGGGCCACCGAGACTGGGACACTCTGGGTCTGTTTATATGGGCAGAACCTCTCCTTGGCATGGTCCCTTTCAAGGGTGGAGGCCTCACTAAAGGAGCAATTAGAGTCTTAGTTTATGGCTGTGCTGCGAATTACGTGTTATCTCCCAGGTGTGTTAATTTTCCTACTGGGAAAGTTACCTTGCAATCTGGGACACTTAGAGTCTACTGCAGCATTCAAGCATCAGTGAGCGAACCCAGACGATCCTCCTGCCCCACATCTTCACCGTCACCTCCAGCAGCATCCCCCGCTCCGCCGTCGTCATCACCATCACCACCATGTCCTCATTTTCATCAGCGCTGTCGGCATCGCCATTGGCATCACCAGCAGCAGTCACGTCATCTCACCCGCATCGTCAGCAGCCGCAGCAGCATCTCGGCATCTTCGTCATCATCAGCATCATTTCCATCACAGCATCAGTTACTATCATTATGGTTCTTACTCAGTAATGGTATTCTTCATTAGGCATAATCGACTAGGCATAAAATGTTTATTTTGAAGCATCTAAAAAAGAAATTCTAATATTATAAACAAACTGTATAATTCAGTAAAGGAATGTTCAATTGCAAGGAACATTATATTTGTCACCCTGCTGTGGTCCTTGTACACAGACACGATAGAATGGCAGGAGGTGAGGGACGTAAGAAAGTTGACTTATAAGGCCTATACTCTCAGATTCCCATTCAAAAAGAAAATATGCTCAAAAGAAAATCCACTTTTCAGGAATACATTCAGTAATACATTATGCAATGGAATATTTATCATGAAGATTTTTGAAGTTTTTATTTTGACACAATTGTAGTTCTCGTGTAGTAATAAATGATACAGAGAGATCCTGTGTAGCTCTTCTGCAGTTCCCCCAGTGGCAACATTTTGCACAATTACTGTACAGCACACACCCAGGACATTGTATGTTGCCATATGCAGTACACTTATCTCACTCAAATTTCCTCACTTTTACTTACACTCATTTGTGAATGTGTGTACATTTAGTTCAATGCAATTTTGTCTGTTTGTAGGTTCATGCACATTCTACTCAGAATTGCATATGCTGTTCCAGGTCCACACACTTAGGTGCACATGTGGTTCAGGACTCTCAGGAGAGTGGGTTTTCCTTTCTCCCCCTGCTCCATCCAGAGTCAAGGGTGAAGCCTGTATCCTCAGCACTGGCCTGGGTGGGGAAGATGATTCAGTCTTGGAGCTGCCTTACTCCAAATCCCATGGAAGGAGGGGACTGAGGTGGTTCAGAAGCCCCCTGTTGCATCATGTGGTGAAGGCAGCCTACTGGAGGGGCACACCTGGGCCAGAACACCAGGAGTGAGCAGAAGCCCACAGCAGTGAACGTGACTCTCCATCAGGCGCAAGGGCTTCTGGAGGCATGTGCTCCTCCCCTGTGTGTACAAGCAACTCAAACACCCCACACAAATACCCTGTACTTGCCTGTAAGGCCCATCTCCCAAAGGTGATCACACAGCTTGTCCTTCTCCCCTAAAGCAAAGGGATGGGCAGAGGGCGGTTGTGAGCAGGAGGTATATATGGAGCTTTGACATGATTAGTCAATAAGAACATGTGTAGGGATTCTTGTGGGGAGGGACAGACTGGCAGTGGGACAGGGAAGGAGTACACTGTGGCCATGGGGAGGGAGCTGGGCACCAGGGAGAGACTTTATTTTATATTGTATTATTTTTTGTATTATTTTAATATTTTACAATTTATTTAATTTTATATTGTAGCATATTTGATATACAATATTACATTGGTTTCAAGTATACGTCACAGTGGTTTGACATAGAAAGATGTTACAGAACCATTGGCTATATTCTCCATGTGGCAATTCCATCTCCATGATTAATTTCTACTATGATTGAGCTTTTTATTCCTCTTTATTCCCCTTACTCACCACACCCACCCACATCATAGCGTCCCTCATGGTAACCACCAGTATATCTCAGTGTCTATGAGGCTGCTGCTATTTTTAAAATTTTGTTTTATTTTTAGATTCCACATATAAGTGAAATCATATGACATTTGTCTTTTTCTACCAGTCTTACCTCAGTTACCATGATACCCTGTACATCTATCCATATTGTCACAAATGACAGGATTTATTTCTTTTTTATGACTGACTAATATTCCACTATATGTATCACATCTGTATCCATTCATCTATGCATGGACACTTTTGATGCTTCCATA